GTTTGGAGGAAGAGGAATGCTGGCTATGACCAAAAGAACACCATCCCCACCGTCAAACATGGAGATGGAAACATTATGCTTTGGGGGTGTTTTTCTGCTAAGGGGACAGGACAACTTCACCGCATCAAAGGGACGATGGATGGGGCCATGTACCGTCAAATCTTGGGTGAGAACCTCCTTCCCTCAGCCAGGGCATTGAAAATGGGTCGTGGATGGGTATTCCAGCATGACAATGACCCAAAACACACGGCCAAGGCAACAAAGGAGTGGCTCAAGAAGAAGCATATTAAAGTCCTGGAGTGGCCTAGCCAGTCTCCAGACCTTAATCCCATAGAAAATCTGTGGAGGGAGCTGAAGGTTTGAGTTGCCAAACGTCAGGCTCAAAACCTTAATGACTTGGAGAAGATCTGCAAAGAGGAGTGGGACAAAATCCCTCCTGAGATGTGTGCAAACCTGGTGGCCAACTACAAGAAACGTCTGACCTCTGTGATTGCCAACAAGGGTTTTGCCAACAAGTACTAAGTCATGTTTTGTAGAGGGTCAAATACTTATTTCCCTCATTTAAAATGCAAATCAATTTATAAAATTTTTGACATGTGTTTTTTTCTGGATTTTGTTTTTGTTATTCTGTCTCTCACTGTTCAAATAAACCTACCATTAAAATTATAGACTGATAATTTCTTTGTCAGTGGGCAAACGTACAAAATCAGCAGGGGATCAAATACTTTTTTCCCTCACTGTACATGTTAGAATCAGCTTCAGCGATTACAGCTGTGAGTCTTTCTGGGTAAGTTTCTAAGAGCATTCCACACCTGGATTGTGCAACATTGGCACATTATTCTTTGAAATTCTTCTTTAATTACTATGTTATCCTATGCCGCCATGTGTTGGTAAGACAATCACTTTCCTATAATGTTATCAATTCACCCAGTGATCTAGGTCAATAGCATCAATGTAACAGTTTTGCTTCCGTCCCTACCTGGGGTTGAACCAGGGACCCTCTGCACACATCGACAACATTCACCCTCGAAGCACCGTTACCCATTGCTCCACAAAAGCTGCGGTCCTTGCAAAGCAAGGCAAACAACTACTTCCAGGTCTCAAAGCAAGTTACGTCACCACTCTAAACGCTACTAGTTCGCACCACTAACTAGCTAGCCCTTTCACACCGGTAACATTCACCCCCCTTTGACTTCCTTCTCCTCAGCAACCATTGATCTGTGTAACAAACCAAACCTAACCCATAATGTCCCCTTACTGCTCTCTCACGTTCAGCGAGCCCCATTCGCTAACACCCGCAGATTAACACCTAGAAATTCTCCAGACAACAAATAAAAACCATTCTCAAAAAGCGTTCTACATATACCTCTATCGTAGGGTTTAAAAACGAACACCTTTCACAATCAATTGCTGTAGTAGCTTCATGTTTGGTTCAGTTTATCTGTTACGATATTGAAATGACAAAGGAATCACTCACATAGCCCAATTACACTGGTTTATCATCTTACCATCTGATACAAAATGACATTCCTACTTCACCACCTTAGCTCCGCGATGATACTTAGTTTAATGGAAACCCTAAATTGGCTTTATACTATGTTATAAGTTACGTCTATGACTTCCACTCCTTATGGGCAGTTAATTTCTTAAACCTTATCTCTATCAAAGGATCTAACAACGGTACAAACGTAGAAAACCCGTATTCATTATTTCCCCACCCATGATGTACGTCTATGTTTGGGTGATCAAGTTAATACATATATAACGTTAGAAACTTCTAGGTACTCACATCAAAGAATACTTTTGTGGTTTTTAACCAATTCTCAATCGACACAAATCCACTTCTTCAAACATAGTCCCAGGGGAAACCAAAAAAAAAACAGACTGTAATTTCCAGGACACTGCCCTGCCTGTCCCAGAAAATACAGACTTTTCCACTACTCTCTAAAATAACCTCATAATCTCCATACCACTCCTTGATATTCTATGACCTAATTCTGTTATATATCGTAACTTCTTATCCAAACTTATATCAAATTATCATATCCATTTCTATAACTTATTATGCACCCTTCAGATTCAAATGACTTTCTGCTCTTTGTTCATAAGATAGCCCATGTTGTCCCATTCAATTACTTAACTTCGTTAGCTGACTTTTTCTCCTTATTACTTATATTTCCTTGCCATCATACGCTCATTAAATCGCATGCTTTATATGCCTCTTTCATATAATGTAAATCCCATTTCGTGTTGCTTACGACGATATTGTCAATGATATATTTTTGCGCTATCTGTAACTTATCCCTTAAAAAAAAAAAAAACTTTACTCATTATCTGTCCATGCTGATAAATCACCAAGATATGCTCCCACATAGAAAAATCATAATTTACTTAACATCCATTACTTTTACAAGAGACTTGTTCTAAATGTGGATTTGCCTGTAATAATTTCATAGTTTCCTGTCTCTCTCTTCGAGGTAAATGAAGCTCTGATTTACTCTTAATGGTGACTGTTTTTCCAGATACCGGTCTACTAAGCTGGCCATTCATTACTGCTATTAGTTCATGCAATATTAGTAATCAAATACTTGAATCAACTCCCCACCTTGATCTTTATTTAAAATTGAGTTTGCCTATTTTGTCTTTGGTGGAGTCTTTCACAAAAAAACAACAACAACGTATTCTCTCCTAACCAAGGTATTCAAACCTAATGATGATACAACACATCAGAGGTCCGTAACCTATTTCTTTAATTCTCTCTCTTTACCAAGGTATTCAAATGATGATACAATACATCATATATTTTAACATAATAATACAATGAAAGTCTGCTTACCTGTTAGTTCGGCTGTTAACTGTATCCTGTTCATTCAGACGCCAATCTGTTATGAGTTTCTAGGGTATCAAGTAATTCATGATGCAAGAAGATATTTAACACTTAGATGAAGAGTTCATTCAAATATTTAATAGGTACCGTGGTTCGTTAACAAAAGGAGCATGCTCTGCCTCTTGCCATTCCGAACTACTGAACAAAGAAAATATCTCAGTTTATATACCTTCTGTTACACGTTTCTTCAACAACATCTGTTAACCCTCAGTGGGCACTCCCTTCTTTGATGTTATTACCTTGTACCCCAAGTCAGTATATCATGTCCATCAATAATTCTAAGATAAACCTCAGTAATCTCCCTCGACATAATGGAATCCTTGGTATTCAGACTGTGCGGCGCCCAGAATCACTTATCTACTAAATTTAACCTGTTCCCACCACCATGAAAAGCCATCATAACAGCGGGTTGTCTGGCGCCAGTACTACTTGCAAGTCTTCCGATGTAAAATCCTTGAGTCCCAAAAACCTTTCTGCCGCAGCCACAATAATGTCTAGTTTCTTAGACTTCTTTGAGACTTGTGCTGTACAGTTTATAACTGTGGCAATGAACGCAACAAAATCCACCTTTTTAACACACAGGGTATATTTTGTCTGGCAGCAAACATTTACTACAGGCTGTGGTGTATCCACTACCATCTCTTCACTGGAATCACTTATTTCCTCAATTATTTTGATCGCCTCCGCATAGGAGATTCGATTGACGGCTCTAACTTTTGCCACCTCAATTTCCTTCACCCTTACAGGGCACTCCAGGAACTCAGGATCATGATCCCCACCACAATTGCAACACCGCGTCCTTCTACACACCGTTCTTCAGTATAATGTTTGTCTGCACACACTTGAAACATGGCCAAATCCTTTACAATTCTTACACTGCAGTGGTTTGGGGACAAAAGCTCTTACGGCGTATCTTACATAACCAAGCTTCACATGCCTAGGTATTTGCTCTTTATCAAAAAACAACAGGACCGACAGACTTTCTTTTTTTTTTTTTCATTCACCCAGCGGGTCAGATGCCGGGCACCAACCACACCAGGAATTCTCTTCAGGTACTCAATCTGAACATCCGTCGTCACCCCTGAGATGACTCCTTTGACGGGTGCTCTACTCCGAAGTTCAAAACACAAAAATTATGTTGTCCGGGTTCTTTTGAGGTCCACTGCAATCTTCCTCTGCTCGTCAGAAATACAATGAATCAAAATAAGACCGCTCCTGGTCACTCTGACAGACTCCACTTTTCCAAGAGGATACTTCACCATTTGACACCTCAAACGGGTTTCCCACATATGCATCCTTACTCAACAACCGCATCCCAACAAGAACTGATTCATTATCATTTACACACGTATCCTCCACTCCAATTTTAGACAATTTCCTTTTTGTTCTAGTTTTCGATATTACTGTTGTCCATTCAGAACATTCGTCTTCACCAAATTTACTCGACGCGCTGCTTAATTCGAACTCATCAACCACTTCCGCCACCTTCCCAAAACTCATGAGCTGCCTACGCTCTTTACTATTACACACATAGGAGGGGAAAAAACGGGCCTGCCTATGGAAATCAAATGCCCGTCCAACTGATTTGTTCTGGCACCGGGTCTGGACATAAGTCAAAACACCTCAAACCAAAACATGGTATTAATAACAAGATACAACGAGCTGAAACGAGCCACCTACGATTCCCCACATAGCAGCTTATTGTCATTGTTGTTCGCTATCTGACCGGTCAGAATCTATAGGTTTTGGCCAACGAGTAAGCCTCCATTAGTGCCTACAAAGAGACGCCATTACTATTGCTTTCTATTGGATGAAGTCCAGCCCTCGAGTCATGTGCATGATAGATAAGTTAAAGATGCACTATAAGAATGTAGTTGCTAATTGTTTATGTCAAATTTTGCTTTGAAAATTGGCTGTATGATTTATATACATAAACAATATAATGCTAATAATACATTGCTTATCTCATTAAATCACACAAACCTGTTTTAGGCAAACATGCTTTTTAGGGGACCCGTTTTTGGCACTCCCAGAGGCTGAAGTTCTGTATAGCATATAAGTCTGATATATTTTTAAGCTTTAAAGAATTACACTCATGCTGTGATGCGTTCAGGTCCCAAAAACTGGTTTTGACTGCACCTCAGACAGGGACTGCAAGGCTGGCTCACGTGATACCCGAGGCAATGGTAAGGATATTAAGATTTTGACATTGAGGAAATCGTCATTGATCATTTCTATAACTGAGTTATCATGCATTATGATCTAATCCTTGTTCTACGTTTGAGATGTAGATTATCATGCTTTCTGTAAAATAAAAATGCATTGTATTGTCACTGGATGGTAGCATTACATTTTTGTCATTTAGCAGACGCTCTTATCTAGAGCGACTTACAGTAGTGAGTGCATACATTTTCATACTTTTTTCATACTGGTCCCCCGTGGGAATCAAACCCACAACCCTGTCATTGCAAGCACCATGCTCTACCAACTGAGCATTACCATTCCATAATCATTACAGTACCATGTCATATGTCGAGAGCTTGGGACTACTGCGCCTTCAGAAAGTATTCATACCCCTTGACTTATTCCACATTTTGTTGTGTTACAGCTTGAATTAAAAATTGATTAAATAAAAAAAAAGATCACCCATCTACACACAATAATGACAAAGTGAAAACATGTTTTAGTAGTTTTTTTCAATTTATTGAAAATTAGATACAGAAATATCTAATTTACATAAGTATTCACACCTCTGAGTCAATACATGTTACAATCACCTTTGGCAATGATTACAACTGTGAGTCTTTCTGGGTAAGTCTCTCTAAGAGCTTTGCACACATTCTTTAAACTCTGTCAAGTTGGTTGTTGATCATTGCTAGACAGCCATTTTCAAGTCTTGCCATAGATTTTCAAGCCAATTTAAGTTAATTGTAACTAGGCCACTCAGGAACATTCAATGTAGTCTTGGTAAGCAACTCCAGTGTATATTTGGTCTTGTGTTTTAGGTCAGTGTCTCCCAACCTTGGTCCTCGAGTACCCCCAACAGTACATAGTTTCGTTGTAGCTCTTGACAAACACACCTCATTCAACTCATTGAGGGCTTGATGATTAGTTGACAAGTTGAATCAGGTGTGCTTGTCCAGGGTTACAATAAAAATGTGTACTGTTGGGGGTACTCGAGGACCAGGGTTGGGAATCACTGTTTTAGGTTATTGTCCTGCAGAAGGTGAATTTGCCTCCCGGTGTCTGTTAGAAAGCAGACAGAACCAGGTTTTCCTCTAGGATTTTGCCTGTGCTTAGTAAGCTCTATTCCGTTTCTTTTTAATCCTAAAAAAACCCTAGTCCTTGCCGATGACAAGCATACCCATAACATGATGCAGCCACCACCATGCTTGAAAATATGAAGAGTGGTACTCAGTGAAGTGATGTGTTGTTGGATTTGCCCCAAACATAATGCTTTGTATTCAGGACATAAAGTTCATTTCTTTGCCACATGTTTTTCAGTTTTACTTTAGTGGCAGTTCTCTTCTATCACAGCCATTAAACTCTGTAACTGTTTTACCATTAGCCTCATGGTGAAATCCCTGAGCGGTTTCCTTCCTCTCCGGCAACTGAGTTAGGAAGGATGCCTGTATCTTTTTATTGATACACCATCCAAAGGGTAATTAATACCTTCACCATGCTCAAAGGGATATTCATTGTATGCCTTTTTTTTAACCCTCCAATAGATGCCCTTCTTTGGGAGGCATTGGAAAACCTCCTTGGTCTTTGTGGTTGAATCTGTGTTTGAAATTCACTGCTCGACTCAGAGACCTTACAGATAATTGTATGTGTGGGGTACAGAGATGAGGAAGTATTTCAAAAATCATGTGAAATATTATTATTGCAACTTATTATGACTTTTTAAGCAAATTTTACTCCTGAACTTACTTAGACTTGCCATAACAAAGGGGTTGAATACTTATTGACTCAAGACATTTCAGCTTTTCATTTTGTATTACATTTCTAAAAACATAATTCCACTTTGCCATTATGGGGTATTGTGTGTAGGCTTGTGACACAAAATCTCAATTTAATCCATTTAAAATTCAGTCTGTAACACAACAAAATGTGGAAAAAGTCAAGCGGTGTGAATACTTTCTGAAGGCACTGTAGAAGGTTCTAGCTGCATTTTTTTCACAAAATAAATATTGACATAGCCTTGTTCTGTTCAATGTTCTCTACCTATATAGTACTCTAAATACCCCAATTCATGTTTTTAAATTCAAAAGAATACAATATAAAAATTGCTGACACGATTCAAACCTCATTGAAAATGTAAAGCCAATTATCTCAGAATCATATTTTTGCAGATAGAACCTTATAGTCCCAAGCTCTCAATGTGTCAATTATATTTAAAGACAGTCTGCCACTTACTTGTAGAATGAGAGGCACATGATTGTTTTTCACTAACGTTCTCCTTTAAAAGTGTCCATCTCCCCTCAGGTGTTCAGACTGGGAAATGTGTGAAGTACTCAGCTGCGGAGAAGACATGTGAGGTTCTGGCTTGGTGCCCACTGGAGTTAGATAAGGAACCTCCCAAGTAAGAACTATTGAGTACCAAGGTGGAAAAGGTTGCATTTGCTTTAATTTTACATAATCCATCTAGAATGTTTTAATAATTTCACAATATAATTTTCTTTAGTCCTCCAATGTTGGCAGATGCTGAGAACTTCACAGTGCTTATAAAGAACAGCATCCGATACCCCAAATTCAACTTCAATAAGTAAGTCAAGTTTTAACATTTCTGTGACTTGATAAATATGTTAGGAGCTAAATTATATTTAAGATTTGATAATCCATCATACTATATGTTGATAAGCAACTGCTTGCTAAGGTTAGGGTTAGGTTTAGAATAAGGGCGAGGGTTAAGTTTAGGGTTAGGATAAGGGTTAGGATTAGCTTTAGTAGATACACTACATGACCAAAAGTATGTGGACACCTGCTTGTCGAACATCTCATTCCAAAATCATGGGCATTAATATAGAGTTGCTCCCCCCTTTGCTGCTATAACAGCCTCCACTCTTCTGGGAAGGCTTTCCACTAGATGTTGGAACATTGCTGCGGGGACTTGCTTCCATTCAGCCACAAGAGCATTAGTGAGGTCGGGCACTGATGTTGGGTGATTAGGCCTGGCTCACAGTCGTTCCAATTCATCCTAAAGGTGTTCGAAGGGGTTGAGGTCAGGGCTCTGCGCAGGCCAGTCAAGTTCTTCCACACCGATCTCGACAAACCATTTCTATATGGACCTCGCTATGTGCACGGGGGCATTGTCATGCTGAAACAGGAAAGTGCCTTCCCCAAACTGTTGCCACAAAGTTGGAAGCACAGAATCGTCTAGAATGTCATTGTATGCTGTAGCGTTGAGATTTCTCTTCACTGGATCTAAGGGGCCTAGCCCGAACCATGAAAAACCCCAGACCATTATTCCTCCTCCACCAAACTGTACAGTTGGCACTATGCATTGGGGCAGGTAGCGTTCTCCTGGCATCCTCCAAACCCAGATTAGTCCGTCGGACTGCCAGATGGTGAAGCGTGATTCATCACTCCAGAGAACGTGTTTCCACTGCTCCAGAGTCCAATGGCGGCGAGCTTTACTCCAGCCGATGCTTGGCTTTGCGCTTGTGTGTGGCTGTTCGGCCATGGAAGCCTATTTTATGAAGCTCCCTACGAACAGTTCTTCCAGAGGCAGCTTGGAACTTCCAGAGGCAGTTTGGTAGTGAGTGTTGCAACCGAGAACAGACAGACAGCACTCGGTGGTCCCATTCTGTGAGCTTGTGTGGCCTACCACATCGCGGCTGAGCCGTTGTTGCTCCTAGACGTTTCCACTTCACAATAACAGCACTTCCAGTTGACCGGGGCAGCTCTAGCAGGGCAGACATTTGACGAACTGACTTGTTGGAAAGGTGGCATCCTATGACTGTGCCACGTTGAAAGTCACTGAGCTCTTCAGTAAGGCCATTCTAATGCCAATGTTTGTCATTGGAGATTGCATGGCTGTGTGCTCGATTTTATACACCTGTCAGCAACGGATGTGGCTGAAATAGCTGAATCCACTAATTTGAAGGGGTGTCCACATACTTTTGTGTATACAGTGGGGAAAAAAGTATTTAGTCAGCCACCAATTGTGCAAGTTCTCCCACTTAAAAAGATGAGAGAGGCCTGTAATTTTCATCATAGGTACACGTCAACTATGACAGACAAAATGAGAAGAAAGAAATCCAGAAAATCACATTGTAGGATTTTTAATGAATTTATTTGCAAATTATGGTGGAAAATAAGTATTTGGTCAATAACAAAAGTTTCTCAATACTTTGTTATATACCCTTTGTTGGCAATGACACAGGTCAAACGTTTTCTGTAAGTCTTCACAAGGTTTTCACACACTGTTGCTGGTATTTTGGCCCATTCCTCCATGCAGATCTCCTCTAGAGCAGTGATGTTTTGGGGCTGTCGCTGGGCAACACGGACTTTCAACTCCCTCCAAAGATGTTCTATGGGGTTGAGATCTGGAAACTGGCTAGGCCACTCCAGGACCTTGAAATGCTTCTTACGAAGCCACTCCTTCGTTGCCCGGGCGGTGTGTTTGGGATCATTGTCATGCTGAAAGACCCAGCCACGTTTCATCTTCAATGCCCTTGCTGATGGAAGGAGGTTTTCACTCAAAATCTCACGATACATGGCCCCATTCATTCTTTCCTTTACACGGATCAGTCGTCCTGGTCCCTTTGCAGAAAAACAGCCCAAAGCATGATGTTTCCACCCCCATGCTTCACAGTAGGTATGGTGTTCTTTGGATGCAACTCAGCATTCTTTGTCCTCCAAACACGACGAGTTGAGTTTTTACCAAAAAGTTATATTTTGGTTTCATCTGACCATATGACATTCTCCCAATCCTCTTCTGGATCATCCAAATGCACTCTAGCAAACTTCAGACGGGCCTGGACATGTACTGGCTTAAGCAGGGGGACACGTCTGTCACTGCAGGATTTGAGTCCCTGGCGGCGTAGTGTGTTACTGATGGTAGGCTTTGTTACTTTGGTCCCAGCTCTCTGCAGGTCATTCACTAGGTCCCACCGTGTGGTTCTGGGATTTTTTTGTGATAATTTTGACCCCACGGGGTGAGATCTTGCGTGGAGCCCCAGATCGAGGGAGATTATCAGTGGTCTTGTATGTCTTCCATTTCCTAATAATTGCTCCCACAGTTGATTTCTTCAAACCAAGCTGCTTACCTATTGCAGATTCAGTCTTCCTAGCCTGGTGCAGGTCTACAATTTTGTTTCTGGTGTCCTTTGACAGCTCTTTGGTCTTGGCCATAGTGGAGTTTGGAGTGTGACTGTTTGAGGTTGTGGACAGGTGTCTTTTATACTGATAACAAGTTCAAACAGGTGCCATTAATACAGGTAACGAGTGGAGGACAGAGGAGCCATAAAAAATCCTACAATGTGATTTTCTGGATTTCTTTTCCAAAATTTGTCTGTCATAGTTGACGTGTACCTATGTTGAAAATTACAGGCCTCTCTCATCTTTTTAAGTGGGAGAACTTGCACAATTGGTGGCTGGCTAAATACTTTTTTTCCCCACTGTATATAGTGTAGTTGAAATGTTACTGAGTCTGTAGAGGATCTACAGATGGACTATCCAAATAAAGCGATACCAAGATTTGCTGCATTGGGCCATCCAGTGATAAACAATGGAATTGCAGTCAGAGCGACTGCATGTAACACTATAACTATGATATTTTTGTCTGTTCTACAGAAGGAATATCTTGCCCTATGTCAACAAGACCTACTTGGAACAATGTGTATTCAATCGCATCACTGACCCAGACTGTCCGATCTTCAGACTCAAAGACATGGTCACAGAGGCCAATGAGGACTTTCAGACCATGGCTGTCCATGTAAGTGCCTGCATGTTTTTAAAAACTCCCAAATTACTGTCCATGTAAGTGCCTGCGTGTTTTTTTTAAAACTCCATAATTACTTAGCATTTGGTAAGTTGGGGATGTACACTGAGTATACAAAACATTAAGAACATTGTTACTTACTGTCTTCCAGCCTAAAAAATGGCTTCCCATAACATGTACAGTACAAGTGTTAGCTTACACCCACACCTATCAGGTCATATGTCGATTTAGATACTGATATGTCATGACCTTATTCTCTTGATTGGATGAGGGTTAACCAGAATATTTTTCTGCGAACTACCCTAAAGGCTACACTGAGTATACAAAACATTAAGAACACCTGCTCTTTCCATGATCAAATATAATCAAATCAAATTGTATTTGTCACATACACGTGTTTAGTAGATGTTATAGCGGATGTAGCGAAATGCTTGTGCTTCTAGCTCCGACAGTGCAGTAATATCTAACAAGTAATATCTAACAATTTCACAACATATACCCAATACACACAAAACTAGTAAGGAATGGGATTTAAGAATATATACATATATGGACAAGCAATGACAGAGTGGCATGGACTAAAATACAGTAGAATATTATAGAATAGAATGCAGTATATACATATGAGATGAGTAGTGCAAGATATGTAAACATTATTAAAGTGACTAGTGTTCCATTTCTTAAAGTGGCCAGTGATTTCAATAGGCAGCAGCAGCCTCTAATGTGCTAGTGATGGCTATTTAACAGTCTGATGGCCTTGAGATAGAAGCTGTTTTTCATTCTCTCGGTCCCAGCTTTGATGCACCTGTACGGACCTCGCCTTCTGGATGATAGCGGGGTGAACAGGCAGTGGCTCGGGTGGTTGATGTCCTTGATGATATTTTTGGCCTTCCTGTGACATCGGGTGCTGTAGTTGTCCTGGAGGGCGGGTAGTTTGCCCCCGGTAATGCGTTCGGCAGACCGCACCACCCTCTGGAGAGCCCTGCGGTTGCGGGCGGTGCAGTTGCCGTACCAGGCGGTGATACAGCAGCCTGACAGGATGCTCTCAATTGTGCATCTGGAAAGGTTTGTGAGGTTTTTAGGTGCTAAGCCGACTTTCTTCAGCCTCCTGAGGTTGAAGAGGCTCTGTTGCGCCTTCTTCACCACACTGTCTGCGTGGGTGGACCATTTCAGTTTGTCGGTGATGTGTACGCCAAGGAACATGAAGCTTTCCACCTTCTCCACTGCGGTCCTGTCGTTGTGGATAGGGGGGTGCACCCTCTGCTGTTTCCTGAAGTCCACAATCATCTCCTTTGTTTTGTTGATGTTGAGTGAGAGGTTATTTTCCTGGCACCACACTCCCAGAGCCCTCACCTCCTGCTTGTAGGCGGTCTCTTCATTGTTGGTAATCAAGCCTACTACTGTTGTGTTGTCTGCAAACTTGATGATTGAGTTTGAGGTGTGCTTGGCCACGCAGTCATGGGTGAACAGGGAGTACATGATGGGGCTGAGAATGCACCCTTGTGGGGCCCCAGTGTTGAGGATCAGCAAAGTGGAGATGTTGTTTCCTACCTTCACCACCTGGGGGTGGCCCGTCAGGAAGTCCAGGACCCAGTTGCACAGGGCGGGGTTCAGACCCAGGGCCTCGAGCTTAATGATGAGCTTGGAGGGTACTATGGTGTTGAATGCTGAGCTATAGTCAATGAACAGCATTCTTACATACAGTTGAATTCGGAAGTTTACATACACCTTAACCAAATACATTTAAACTCAGTTTTTCTGCAATTCCTGACATTTAATCCTAGTAAAGATTCCCTGTCTTATGTCAGTTAGGATCACCACTTTATTTTAAGAATGTGAAATGTCAGAATAATACTAGGGAGAATGATTTATTTCAGCTTTTATTTCTTTCATCACATTCCCAGTGGGTCAGAAGTTTACATACACTCAATTAGTATTTGGTAGCATTGCCTTTAAATTGTTTAACCACAAGCTTCCCACAATAAGTTGGGTGAATTTTGGCCCATTCCTCCTGACAGAGCTGGTGTAACTGAGTCAGGTTTGTAGGTCTTCTTGCTCTCACACGCTTTTTCAGTTCTGCCCACACATTTTCTGTAGGATTGAGGTCAGGGCTTTGTGATGGCCACTCCAATACCTTGACTTTGTTGTCCTTAAGGCATTTTGCCACAACTTTGGAAGTATGCTTGGGGTCATTGTCCATTTGGAAGACCCATTTGCGACCAAGCTTTAACTTCCTGACTGATGTCTTGATGTTGCTTCAATATATCCACATAATTTTCCTTCCTCATGATGCCATCTATTTTGTGAAGTGTACCAGTCCCTCCTGCAGCAAAGCACCCCCACAGCATGATGCTGCCACCCCCGTGCTTCACGGCTGGGATGGTGTTCTTCAGCTTGCAAGCGTCCCCCTTTTTCCTCCAAACATAACGATGGTCATTATGGCCAAACAGTTCTATTTTTGTTTCATCAGACCAGAGGACATTTCTCCAAAAAGTACGATATTTTTCCCCATGTGCAGTTGCAAACCGTAGTCTGGCTTTTTTATGGCGGTTTTGGAGCAGTGGCTTCTTCCTTGCTGAGTGGCCTTTCAGGTTATGTCGATATAGGACTCGTTTTACTGTGGATATAGATACTATTGTACCTGTTTCCTCCAGCATCTTCACAAGGTCCTTTGCTGTTTTTCTGGGATTGATTTGCACTTTTCGCACCAAAGTACGTTAATCTCTAAGAGACAGAACACGTCTCCTTCCTGAGCGGTATGACGGCTGCATGGTCCCATGGTGTTTATACTTGCGTGCTATTGTTTGTACAGATGAACGTGGTACCTTCAGGCGTTTGGAAATTGCTCCCAAGGATGAACCAGACTTGTGGAGGTCTACAATTATTTTTCTGAGGTCTTGGCTGATTTCTTTTGATTTACCCCATGATGTCAAGCAAAGAGGCACTGAGTTTGAAAGTAAGCCTTGAAATACATCCACAGGTACATCTCCAATTGACTCAAAATATGTCAATTAGCCTATCAGAAGCTTATAAAGCCATGACATCATTTTCTGGAATTCTCCAAGCTGTTTAAAGGCACAGTCAACTTAGTGTATGTAAACTTCTGACCCACTGGAATTGTGATACAGTGAATTATAAGTGAAACAATCTGTCTGTAAACAATTGTTGGAAAGATTACTTGTGTCATGCACAAAGTAGATGTCCTAACCGACTTGCCAAAACTATAGTTTGTTAACAAGAAATTTGTGGAGTGGTTGAAAAACAAGTTTTAATGACTCCAACCTAAGTGTATGTAAACCTCTGACTTCAACTGTAGGTATTTCTCTTGTCCAGATGGGATAGGGCAGTGTGCAGTGTGATGGCGATTGCATCGTCTGTGGATCTATTGGGGCGGTAAGCAAATTGAAGTGGGTCTAGGGTGACAGGTAAGGTAGAGGTGATATGATCCTTGACTAGTCTCTCAAAGCACTTCATGATGACAGAGGTGAGTGCTACAGGGCGATAGTCATTTAGTTCAGTTACCTTTGCTTTCTTGGGTACAGGAACAATGGTGGCCATCTTGAACCATGTGGGAACAGCAGACTGGGAAAGGGAGAGATTGAATATGTCCATAAACACACCAGCCAGCTGAGGACGAGGCTAGGGATGCCGTCTGGGCCGGCAGCCTTGTGGGGGTTAACATGCTTAAATGTCTTAATCATGTCGGCCATGGAGAAGGAGAGGCCACAGTCCTTGGTAGTGGGCCTCGTCAGTGGCACTGTGTTATCCTCAAAGCGGCCGAAGAAAGTGTTTAGCTTGTCTGGAAGCGAGACGTCGGTGTCGGCGACGTGGCTGGTTTTCCTTTTGTAGTCCGTGATTGTCTGTAGACCCTGCCACATACGTCTCGTGTCTGAGCCGTTGAATTTCGACTCCACTTTGTCTCTATACTGATGTTTTGCCAGTTTAATAGCCTTGCGGAGTGAGTAGCTACACTGTTTGTATTCTGCCATATTCCCAGTCACCTTCCCATGGTTGAATGCGGTGGTTCGCGCTTTCAGATTTGCGCGAATGCTGCCATCTATCCACGGTTTCTGGTTAGGGTAGGTTTGACCAGGTGAATCCAGTTGAAAGTTATGATCCCTTATTTGATGTCACTTGTTAAATCCACTTCAGTCAGTGTAGATGAAGGGAAGGAGACAGGTTAAAGAATGATTTTTAAGCCTTGAGAGAATTGATACATGGATTGTATATGTGTGCCATTTCATAGGGTGAACAAAATATTTAAGTGCCTTTGAATGGGGTATGGTGGTAGGTGCCAGGCGCACCAGTTTGTATAAAAACCTGCAACACTGCTGGGTTTTATACACTCAACAGTTTCCCATGTGTATCAAGAATGGTCCACCACCCAAAGGACATCCAGCCAACTTGGCACAACTGTGGGAAGCATTGGAGTCAACATGGGCCAACATCCCTGTGGAACGCTTTCGACACCTTGTAGAGTCCATGCCCTGACGAATTGAGGCGGCAGGTAGCTTGGTGGTTAAGAGCGTTGTGTCAGTAACCGAAAAGTCGCTGGTTCTAATCCCCAAGCCGACTAGGTGAAACATCTGTCGACGTGCCCTCGAGCAAGGCACTTAACCCTAATTGCTCCTGTAAGTCGCTCTGGATAAGAGCGTCTGCTAAATGACTAAAATGTAAAATGTTCTGAGGGCAAAAGGGGGGGGTTGCAACTCAGTATTAGGAAGGTGTACCTAATGTTTGGTATACTCAGTTTATATTAGTCAAAATGTCATGATATGTCTTGTGGCATTATGATGCATGTAGAGTAATCTAACATGCATCTTATGTCTCGGGTGGTTTTCATTTGTAAAATCCATGTAAACTGTGTACTCCGTATCTACGTTGATTGTCTTTGTCTAGGGTGGGGTTATGGGTGTCCAAATCCGTTGGGAGTGTGATCTGGACATGCCAAGCAGCTGGTGTGTGCCTAGGTACACCTTCCGTCGCCTGGACAACAAGGACCCAGTGAACAATGTGGCGCCTGGATACAACTTCAGGTATAGGTGTTGAACTTTTGTTTTTAGACTACAACCACATCGATAGATCGATTTATCTCTGAGTAACACATTTGTTGGACCCCAAATTATTACAACCATAGGTAGTGTAAATAGAAAATATTGATGTTCATTTGTTTTTTAAGACGAATTTTGGCAACACTCTTTGTGCTTTTCTTTTCCCACAGATTTGCCAAATATTACAAAAATGGTAACAATGAAGAGACAAGAACATTAATCAAAGGATTCGGAATACGCTTCGATGTAATGGTTTTTGGTCAGGTGAGCTCTCACAGAAACAATCTAAGCCATTTTGAACTTTGATATGGTTATTTTAATGTCATAAAATAATGAATGAAAAGGCCTTATAGTTATAAAATCCTGGTGTTCTAGTTAAACTGGTTAAATGTCTCTGCTTCAGGCTGGAAAATTTAACATAGTGCCAACACTGCTGAATCTTGGTGCTGGTCTTGCCCTCCTTGGCTTGGTAAGTATAGTACTTCTATCACATGCTGTAGGTGTTGTCGTTACGGTAACTGTATACGTATGTTTAATGGGTAAAATGTTATCCTTTATAAAGGGTTTATATATGGTATCACTAGAACATGGTCAGTTGCATACGATTGTTTATTTATATTAATTGCAAGTTTCTACTCTTTGAAGGTGACTGTTGTTTGTGATTGGATTGTGCTGACATGCATGACGAAAAAAAATATCTATAACGAACAGAAATATTCTTATGTTGATGACTTTCAATTGGTGAGTAATAGTTGTTCTAATTTAAGAATTACCTGTTCAATACTGATAATGTAAAGAATCGTACGTATTCAGCCTTTTTGGCCAAATGTCATCATACTTGATAATAGTTCTGTTTTTTCAATCCCCTTATAATATACATTTTCTGTTTTAAAGCTTTCAAATGAAACACCATAAAGCCACGGCGAATCATGTCGAGCAGAAACAACTGTGTATGCAGCATATCAAGATGGAAATGTGAAACAGCATCTTTCTAGATTGAATCCCAGCACTCTTTTCATGATCCACATACTACAATCTTCCACAGGCTTACAACTCGCTAACGATCCTGAAACTTTCTTGTTTGGGCTAACCATGTAGGGACGGAGCATTTGGTGTGTCATTCAATTTTATTAAATCAATAATATAATAATAATAATAATAATAATATATGCCATTTAGCAGACTAAATCAACTCGGATTAGACCCGAGAATCATTCACATTCACTCATAAACCAGGTCTCCATCCAACCTTTTTATGCGAGTAAAGTACATGTTGGATAAAAAATGTCATGACAGGCCTGATGGAAACGGAAATGTTTCTGTAAACGTTCCAAATGTCGACAAACCAAAATACGCTAGACAAGGTTGGATCTTTTTGTGGATGTAAAATTAATTATGCGAGAAATGTTGGTGAAAACGTTTTTATGCTCAAATATTGATATAATAACCATCATATCGAAAGTAAACTTGGGAGTCACACGATTACATGTTGTGTGGTCCTCCCACAACGACTCATCGGGAAAGCATGTAGTTTATTAGGCTACACATTAAATAAATTATGATGAACTTCACAGGGTGGTGAAAGTGCAAGGTGATGTGCTTGATGCTCCTTTCCAA